CAGAACTGCCAAGGCGCAGAAGTGACATTAAAAATACCCCGGGATAGGTGCATTTAGAGGCCTGGCATAAAAATTTCATTGCATGGTTTCCTCGGGAAAGTATCGCAGAAATGTGTCATCAAGGTCATTTTTATTTCATGCCTCTTCGGGAACGCTAGCCGAAGGAACGGAACCGAAGATAAAGAGAATGCGTGAGTCTGAATGTGTGCAGATATGTCACAGGACATCCTGAAAGTACAAACATTACAGCTGTAGTCTCTGTGAGAGGCAGAAGCTGGGTGGGAGTTGGTGAGGCTGCGCATAATGAGACTTGTTGCTCGCTCCTACAGTTTGCTGTGTAATCTGCAGTGACGTATGGCTGTTAATGACCGTGAAGTTCTGCAGATGTATTTTCCAAGCCACTTCTTCTCCTGGCCACGGGATGCTTGCCTTCCTTTATGTTTCGAGGTGTTTGATGGGCTAAAACACAGAGAAGAGGGAGTTAGTTGTACCGTTATTATAGTTTTTTTAAGTTCTTCTTAGTTTTTGTTTCATTTTGAATTTTTGTTGTTAATTATTTGTCATTTCAGTTAATTTCCAGAGTTGGTTTGCTCGTTTCTGATTAGTTTTTATAGTTTTAGTTTAGTTTGTACAAGATAAGTAAGTAAGTATTGATTATTATTACTTATTATTTAATTTATGGCAAATGTCAGAGGCAAAAGTTGGAAAATCAGTACAGATATTAAAACATTAACAGAACCTTTTTTAAGCAGTTGATTTACAAGTGCAATAAAAACATCCATCAAACCCTCATCAGGCAGTTTTTGATAACTAATTTAACTCAATTAACAAATACCAAGGCTTCAGATATTTTCTTTATTATTTTATTTTAGCCTGTTTTCCAAGTTAATTTTTTCTCCAAGGTCCAGTTTTTATTTTTTATTTTGGTTCACTAAAATAAATCTAGTTTTACTATTTAGTTTAGCTTTAACTATGACAACTAATGGTAATTATTACCATATATATGTAAAAATGCAGAAAATTCTCAGGTTTCCACGTCTCCAGTGAGGAGAGTATACACTTTTATTTATTGCAAAGTCAGTTTAATTTGTTTGTATGTTTTTGTTTGTATTGCAGGTGTTGAATCATTTTTTTTGAAGTAATATGAAAACAGACAAAAGGAAGGAAAAAAACCCGTCGCATTTTCAGCCTGAATCGGATATTTTTAGTTGTTTTGTTCTCCCAACAATCCAACGTGAAAATATAATCAATTTACTGAATATAAGAAAAGAAATCTAAGAAGTCGGAAATTCTGAATGATACAATTTTTTTTTGCAATGAGAAAAATTTGCTTCTGTTTCACTTCTTTCTTACATTTCATAGAGTAGATTTTAATATATTTCCTAATTGTCAGCTGGAGCTGTAAACCTTACGTTTCCATATTGAGAATCACGGCTGTTTAGTATCTGCCGTTTGATCTCTCTTGTCCCTTTTTATAAGCTTTCTAATACATGCTGTAATATTTGTCATAGCTATTTGCACCCACCCCGCTGATCACACGTATGCTCAGTAACAAACAGTAAATAAAAACACGCCTGGTGTCAGTTGTTTAGCATGGCTGCTTTTCAGCTTCACTCTGCTGGATTTTCAAAGCAAACAGCACCGTGAGATTTTTTTCCACAGCACCATAATGGATGAGGAAGCTGCAGGCCCCTGATACTACTTTACCAGAGTGTGGTGCGGTTTTATGTATGCCATGCATTACTTGTTTGGAATAATAGAGTTGCTTGACAAAGGTGCTGCGAGTGTTGGGGAAAAATAATAATAAAAAATCTCGCCTGCCAAGCAGCATCCTGGAAAATTACATGTTTATTCCTCAGCCAAACTCTTAAAAAGGTACGATAGTTGTGATTAGGCTGTATTCCAGGAATGTCAGCGCACCATCGGGCAGATACTGAAAAGATGAATTCTGTTTTCAGTGTATGAAAGTGAAAGCGCTTTATGGAGTCAGCACAGAATGACAGGGAAAGCGATGCAAGGACCTCACAGTGAGGCTAGCATACAGTTTTGTGCATTTTGTTCTCGCTGTTTGGAACAGCTGCTGAAAAATACAATTACTGCCAAAACAAAAAGGCACCTCAAAAGCAGCGTCTCCAAATGAGTTGCCTTCAGTTTGATGTTTTCCTGCACACCACAAGCTGGTTTCATTAAAACAAATCTTTCATCTGCGTGGACTTACATATAAAATCATCCATCTGCTGCTGATAAAAAATTGTTGCATAATTTAGCCAAAGCAAGTTCATGAATAAGTCTGATTTACACAACAAAATACATCCCCTTTGTACAACTGCGCACACACTTCTGTGCATTGTCAGGACTAAGTACAATTGAGTATATAGCAGAGCTCTTCATTAACGTTAGGCATCCCGTCTCTGTGTTCACTTTCATTTTACAAAATCTTGAAAGAAGGCTAAGTGACACAGCTTATGCTCCAGCTCTATTTATTCGGTCTCATTGGTTCTGTAAAATGCCCTATTTGTAATCCAATCATATTAGAATAATTTCCCTGGTTTGGCTATGCTTTATGATGATCTGTCACTTCTAGGCCTCCGGTTTCAAGGCACCGCACTCCTCTGGGGGGACTCTTCACAGACTGTCTGCGCCAGCAATGTTTCCTAGTTCAAACATTGTTGCGCACTGCCTCTCCTTGGGAATGGCTTTAATTGAGTGCTTAATAACAGCAACGCCACACAGCAACCAACTTCGGTGGGGGGGTGGGGGAGATCTGAGCGCTGGGAATGTTGCATTATTAAACATACTTATATAAGGCCCGCAAACATTTCCTTTCCAAGTATTCTTGGGATGAGGCCAGATTTGCGATTCTTCTTGATGCTACACCTCGTTTGAACGTGCGTGTGCTTTTCAGTAAAGAGCCGCACAAGCACATTCTCAGAGGTAATATTGTGCTCCTCTGGGTGTGGCTGTTGAGTGAGAGACAGCGGTGCTCGCTGATTTAGTATAAGCGCTTGATAAGAACTGTGCTCCCCACAGGGTGTTGTTATTTTGTTTGAATCGACATTAAAGGATTGAATAGAACAGCTGGGACGACTCAAAAGAATGCAACAAATATACCCGAAACAATGTGTCCCTTTTTATCGATCGATTGATTTTTTTTCACAGCTTTGTGGACAGAAACACACTGACAGAAAACAAGTGGCATATCTTAAACTGCAGGACTTGCATGTAGCGTTTTTGTAAACATTCTCATTTTTTTTTTAACATCCCTTTAAAATTTATGCAAGGAAACCTGGTCTCTTAGCTCAATCTCTCCCCTGTGAAAAAGTGCATTTTCATGTGTTATTATACCACGGTTTGAGTTACACAAGATCTTTCAAATAGCAGTTATACACAGTAACATAAATTCATATAATTTACATAAAATGCCATATAAGACAAATAAGCCATTAGAATTGTTTATAATCTCCATTATAAACCATCACACTCTGCAACATCTCAGCATCTCTTGATTAAATCAAAAGAATAACAGCTTTTTGAGATAAAAATGGGATAAAAGTTCTTAATGAGAGAAAAATATCAAGGCTCTGTTATTCACTGTGAGTAAGGTGTCTTAGCTTGGAACTTCTCATTTATTTAAAATGATCTTTTATTTATTTATTTCTTATTTAAAAAAAAAAAACAGTAGCACAGAACACAGTGAAATTCTGAAATCCACAACTTGGTTTGGAAATTCTGGCATCAAACTTCGACATTTTCACTAAATAGGTAAA